AATCTCCACAAGCTATGTTTCACCATGGTTGTAGTGTGGCTGTCAGCTCACAAATCGACGTATCTACCACAATGCTAGTTTCCATCACATGGTTGTAAGTTGTGCTTAGTCACTCACAAGTGACGTATCTACCACATGCTATTCCACCATGGTTAGTGTGGCTGACGCTCACAAGTGATGTATCTACCACATGACTAGTTCCAGCAATGGTTGTTTTGTGGCTGTCAGCTCACATGACGTATCTTTCTCATGCTAGATCCAGCCAGGATGTAGTGAGGCTGTCAGCTCACAAGTGACGTATCTTCCACATGCTATTCCGCCATGGTTGTAGTGTGGCTGTCATGCTCACAATTTACGTATCTACCACAACTAGTCCAACCATGGTTGTAGTTGGCTGTCATCCACAATTGACGGTAATCTACCACAGCTATTCCACCATGGTTGTAGTGTGGCTTGTCAGCTCACAAGTGACGTTATCTTCCACATGCTATTATACCATGGTTGTAGTGTGGCTGTCACTCACAATGACTTATCATACCAACAAGCTAGTTCGCCCCAGGTTGTAGTGTGGCTGACAGCTCACAATGACGTATCTACCACATGCTAGTTACACCATGGTTGTAGTGTGGCTGTCAGGCTCACAAGTGACCGTAATCTTCCACATGTCTAGTTCGCACCATGGTTGTATGTCCTGTCAGCTCACAAGTGACTATGGCTATCCACATGCTAGGTTCCACCATGGTTGTAGTGTGGCTGTCAGCTCACAAGTGACGTATCTACCACATGCTAGTTCCACCATGGTTGTAGTGTGGCTGTCAGCTCACAAGTGACGTATCTACCACATGCTAGTTCCACCATGGTTGTAGTGTGGCTGTCAGCTCACAAGTGACGTATCTACCACATGCTAGTTCCACCATGGTTGTAGTGTGGCTGTCAGCTCACAAGTGACGTATCTTCCACATGCTAGTTCCACCATGGTTGTAGTGTGGCTGTCAGCTCACAAGTGACGTATCTTCCACATGCTAGTTCCACCATGGTTGTAGTGTGGCTGTCAGCTCACAAGTGACGTATCTACCACATGCTAGATCCATCCATGTTGTAGTGTGGCTGCACTCACAAGTGACGTATTCTCCCACAAGCTAGTTCCATAGTTCCACCATGGTTTGTAGTGTGGCTGTCAGCTCACAATGACAGTATCACCACATGCTAGTTCCACCAAGGTTGTAAGTGTGGGCTGTCAGCTCACAAGTGACGTATCTTCCACATGCTAGTGTCCAACCATTTTTTAAGTGTGTCTGTCAAGCTCACAAGTGACGAATCTACCAAATGCTAGTATCCACCATGGTTGTTAGTGTGCTGTCGAGCTCACAAGTGGACGTATCTACTCACAAAGCTTGTTTCCACCATTGTTGTAGTGTGGCTTGTCAGCTCACAAGTAACGTATCTACCACATGCTAGTTCACCATGGTTGAGTGTGTCTGACAGCTCACAAGTGGACGTACTACCACATGCTAGTTCCACCATGGTTGTAGTGTGGCTGTCAGCTCACAAGTGACGTATCTACCACATGCTAGTTCCACCATGGTTGTAGTGTGGCTGTCAGCTCACAAGTGACGTATCTACCACATGCTAGTTCCACCATGGTTGTAGTGTGGCTGTCAGCTCACAAGTGACGTATCTTCCACATGCTAGTTCCACCAAGGTTGTAGGTGCTGTCAGCTCACAAGTGACGATCTTCCCACATGCTAGTTTCCACCATGGTTGTAGTGTGGCTGTCCAGCTCACAAGTGACATACTCCACATCTAGTTCACCATGGTGTAGTGTGCTGTCAGCTTGCACAAGTGACGTATCTTCCACATGCTATTCCACATCGTTGTATTGTGGCTGTCACTCACAAGTGACGTAAACTACCACATGCATATTCCGCCAATGGTTGTAGTGTGGCTTCAGCTCACAAGTGACTATCCTACACATGCTAGTTCCGCCATGGTTGTAGTGTGGCTGTCAGCTCACAAGTGACGTATCTACCACATGCTAGTTACACCATGGTTGTAGTGTGGCTGTCAGCTCACAAGTGACGTATCTTCCACCATGGTTGGGGAGTCTCAGCACGTAAGGAATAAACGAATCAAGATGTGAACTTTAATCCTTATAACGTGATAAAGCTTTTAATTTCTCGCTACTAGTACCACAGATAACAAATATATATAATGTAAGACCTGCATATATCCTTAATAACACTGTGTAGCATCCTGTAACGTCCATAATATAACAACAGCATTATAACTAAATATAGTTTAACAAGGGTTATTAACGCAGTATTTAACTGTTTATAAATTTAATAACTTCACATGAAACTGAAAGAGAACGGAACACAACTTCACATGATTGAGAGAGAGAGAGAGAGAGAGAGAGAGAGACAGACAGACAGACAGACAGACAGAAAGAGAGAGAGAGAGAGAGAGAGAGAGAGAGAGAGAGAGAGAAGAGACAGAGAGAGAGGAGAAGACAGAGAGAGAGAAAGAGATACAAAGAGAGAGACAGAGAGAGAGCATGAAGTGAATGAAATATATATGCACTGACTTATATCCTTAGCTTCTGAGAGCTTCTCCATATATGCTGATCAATATAGGTCACATACGTTCAGGGTCCATTTCCTGAGGAATCTTACTGATTCAAAGTACTCAGTCTTCCTCTTTCGCCCCTCCACTGTCTCCCCTGCCCTTCCTATTCCCACTTCCCTTCTCCTCCTTCCTTCTCCCTTCCTCATGATAAAAGAGGTGCTTTCCGTACGTGAGGTTTCTTATTTCCGATATTCTTTCGTGGTAAGGAAGGGTCGTGCTGAGAGGCGATCACCACCATCCTTCCCTCACCTCATTTGAATACCCAGCCAGGTTATCAGCACCACACACACACATACACTTACACACGAGAAGAGACGGGGCCAGGAGCTATGACACGACCCCCTGCAACCACACATATACGTGAATCCACATACACAATCGCATCACACACATAAACACACACAAAATAGGCCAAGTGTTTATCAACAAGCGCCTTTGACAACTAGTAACTACACACAACCGCACCACGTAAGAGCCCAAGTGTCTATCGACAAGTGCCTATGTCAACTAGTAATTACTATTACTATTACTACTACTACTACTACTACCACCACTACTACTACTACTAATGCTAAGTAGAAGGAGACAAGTGCAACTAATGTGACATTTTATTGTGCCAACGTTTCGCTCTCCAGGAGCTTCGTCACATTAGTCTGTGTCCTTTTACTTAACATATTGTCGGTAATTCTACCAACGTTAATACTACTACTACTACTATTACTACTACTACTACAGCCACAGAATGCCCAGCAGAAACGAAAGATGTTATCAAGTACCAACAAATATATTAAATAAGAACGTTTCGATAGTGGCATCTTTATGAATACAATACAAAGAGGTGAGAAAGAACAAGGTATATACTGTATACTGCAGAGGTGATGTCAGAAGCAGAGTGGCGGGGCCACCTCTGGTCTATACGTCCAGCAGACAAGGGATACCTGAGTTATAATGTGTCTTGAATGCAGATGAAGTCACCAAGAAAATCTGAGCTCTTTTAGTGGAGAGGACTAAGGAAGAGAGGGTTATGACACTCAAAAATTTTAGAAGAATTCTGAAGACAGATGAGAGATTGGGATGTTAGGAAGTAATGCTTTAGTCTCGTGGTAGTTAAAGAGTGGCACGAAATAGACGGGAAAGAAGCTGTGACGAATGCAATATACAGTTTCCACAGTGCGATAAGGACTAAGAGGTTGATGGATTTGTTTACGTTCCTCTTCCCCTTTTTATTGCAGTTCTCCTCTCGTCCTACTCCTTTGCTGTTCCTTCCTTCTTGTCACCGTTACTTAACGTTTTTATCCTTGGTCACCCTCCTCTGCCGTTTTTCTACGTTGGTCCACCACTGTTGTCCGAGGCTGTTACCAGCGCCCTGGAAGAATGTAAATATAACGATTTCCTAGACTCCTACTGTCTCTCTTTCCACTTCTTTCCTTTCTCCCTTCTTCGTATTCTTTTTTCTCCTCTCTCTCCTGGTCCTCTTCATTCCTTTTCTTCTCCTCCACCTCCTCCTCCTCCCCCTTCCTCCTCTTCCTTTTCCTCAGGCGTTCACATGGTAATAGGACTTCCTAGACTTCCTTAACACCGTCACCATCCTGCTTAGGAATGCGTAGGATTTCATTCCATTCTCTTTCTCCTACGTTCTCCTCTTTCATTGTCCTCCTCCTTCATTCTCGACCTCCTTTCTCTCTCTCTCTCTCTCTCTCTCTCTCTCTCTCTCTCTCCTCTCTCTCTCTCTCTCTCTCTCTCTCTCTCTCCCTCTCTCTCTCCCCTCTCTCCTCCTCTCCTCTCTCCTTCTCTCCTCTCTCTCCTCCTCTCTCTCTCTCTCTCCTCTCTCTCTCTCTCTCGCTGCATTGTTTAGCAAACGACAGCACTTCCTTCCTCAATATGCTTGTTGGAGAAAACACTATTATCTGCAAAGAAATCTTGAACTCTCTGAAATTACTCTAAAATGCTTCTCTAAAATCATTCACCTTTATTTAAGCATATTTAAGCACTCTCACCTCTTTATAACCACTCTCCACTCTTTAAAACTAATCTCCACTCTCTGAAACCACCCACTGCTCTCTGAAACCACTCTACGCTCTCGAAAACGACTTTCTAATTTATAAAAACCCACCCTCCACTCTTTAAAACCATTCTCCACTCTTTGAAACTGTTTTCCCCTCTCTTGAACCACTCCACACTCCTCGACAGTCTCTTGAGCATCAACTCGAATGCTTTAAGTTAGATAAGATTCATTAGGACACAGAACAAGAGTTTTCTGGTACGGGTCTTAGTCAAAGATGACCCTAACCAACTGAAGCTATTGTTTCAGACTGAGGTCTTTCCTCCTGGTTTTACCCAATACCTCTAATATTTTGCTTCTGAAAGAAACTCACCCTTGAAGAGAGGTACAAGGCGTCCCCAGCATGTGATGGCTCCTTTGGGGTTTTGTACTGACCCGGGGCCAGCTCCATGAAGAAAAGGGGGATTCCTCCCAACACCAGCATCACGCAGTAGGGCACCAGGAAGGCCCTGCAGGAGAAAACAGGTGAAAAACATCAAAGGTCTGTATTAGGGAAAGATGAACAGGTGGATGAGGGGGAGGGAGCGAAATCTCACGTCAGATACCTACTGGGGGATTTTGGGGGGTATGAAGAGTGGCCACGGGGGAGGACGAAACATCACGTCAGGGGCCTATTGGGGGAAAACAATGGCTGAGGAGACAAATCCTCTTTATAGGCTGATATTATGGGGATGGTTAGTGATTGAGGAGTAAAGTTCTGCATCAAAGTCCTTCATTATGAGGATAAACAGAAGCAGAGAGAAAAAATACCCACCTCTTTAAGAGGCTTACATAATGGAGAAAAGAATGGTAGTTTAAGGCAGTGCCCTTCTCGGTATCTACTCGGTGTCTACTCGGTGTCTACTCGGTACTTGTGCCCAAAAGGTGATGCAGTATCCCGACAGTGTCTGAATAAAAAACACGATGCGGGTTATGGTATTTTACTTTTGGAGACGTTTTCGCCCACCAGGGTTTTCATCACGTTCTGCTGGACAAAACATCTTCACAATAAAATCAATAACCCGCACTGTGTGTCTGACTTAGATTTGCGACACTTATCTCTTTTATCTCCTCCAGAGTCTGTCGCAGTACTTGCGACATCTTCCAGCGCCTCTCACAGTACTTGCGACATCTTCCAGCTTCTCTCGCAGCACTTGCACACACAGCATCCCCCGTCACATTCTCCGACGTACGTGGAATAAGTCACAAGTAAACACAACAAACTTTTTTCTGGACAACGCTACTTACAACGAAATACTGACAACGTAAAAAGCTCTTCTGTATACTTTTACCTCTTGTCAAAAAAGTCCTGTCAGCGTTACGAAAGCCACACACAGTCTCTTGCAACCTGTACCACCTCTTCCTGTCTTTTTAACGTCTCTTCTCCTCTACATTATCTTCCGATACTTATAAAGCATCTCTCTTTCCCCTTCCCTTGATGCTTGGTCATGCAACCCTTGAGCTTCCATGATATAGACACGCTTGTAATTAACCGTCTCTCTCTCACACACACAAACACACACACTCTATATATAATATATATATATATATAAAATATATATATATATATATAATATATATTTTATATATATATATAATATAAATAATATATATATATAATATTAAATATAATATATAATATATATATATATATATATATATATATAAATATACAATTTTTTTTAAACAAGTCGGGGGCCCTCCCCCCACCGAGGCAGGGTACCCAAAAGGAAAGAAAATCCCAAAAAAAGAAAATACTTCATCATCATTCAACACTTTCACCTCACTCACACATAATCACTGGTTTTGCAGAGGTGCTCAGAGCACAACTGTTTTTGAAAGTATATACGTATAAAGATACACAATATAATCCCTCCAAACTGCTAATATCCCGAAACCCCTCCTTTTGAGTGCAGGCTTTTGTACTTCCCATTTCCAGACTCAAGTCCGGCTATATAAAAATAACCGGTTTTCCTGAATCCATTCACTAAATTTTACCCTGCTCACACTCCAACAGATCGTCAGGTTCCCAAAAACCTTTTGTCTCCATTCCCTCCTATCTAACACGCTCATGAAAAGCCTGCTGGAAGTCCAAGCCCCTCGCCCACAAACCTCCCTTTACCCCTTCCTTCCAACCTTTTCGAGGACGACCCCTACCCCCCCTTCCCTTGTCCTACAATTTAATCTCTCCATGTCATTCTACTTTGACTCATACTCTCTAAATGACCAAACCACCTCAACAAACCCTCTTCAAAACCCTCTGACTAATACTTTTATTTAAATCCACACCTTCTCCTAATTTCCAAACTCCAAATTTTCTGCATAATATTTACACCACACATTGCCCTTAGAAAAGGACAACTCCACTGCCTCCAACCGTCCCCCTCGCTGCTGCATTTACCACCCAAGCTTCAAAATCCATATAAAGAGTGTTGGTACACTATACTTTCATACATTCCCTTCTTTGGGTCCATAGATAATGTTTTTTTTGACTTCCCACATAACCTCAAAATCAACCACTCACCTTTTTTCCCTCCATCCAATTCTATATTAACCTCATCCTCATAAATCCATCCGCCGACACGTCAACTCCAATATCTGAAAAACCATTCCCCCTTTTTCCATACTCCTCCCTCCCCAATAAGATATCCAATTTCTTTATCTAAATCATTTGATACCCTTATCACCTTACTCTTTTCTATGTTCACTTTCAACTTTCTACCTTTACACACATTCCCCAAACTACATCCACAAACCTTTGCAATTTTTCCTTAGAATCCCCCCATGAGCACAGTAATCATCAGCAAAAAGTAACTGTGTCAATTCCCATTTTGTATTTGATTCCCCATAATTTTAATCCCACCCCTCTCCTGAACACCCTAACATTTACTTCTTTTACAACCCCATCTATAAATATATTAAACAACCATGGTGACATTACCCATCCCTGTCTAAACCTACTTTTACCGGGAAGTAGTCTCCCTCTCTTCTACACACCCAACCTAAAGCCTCACTATCCTCAAAAAAAGCCTTTACAGCATTTAGTAACTTACCACCTATTCCATAATACTTGCAACATCTGCCACATTGCTCCTCTATCCACTCAAATCATATGCCTTTTCTAAATCCAAAAATGCAATAAAAAACTTCCCTCCCTTTTTATCTAAATACTGTTCACATATATGCTTCAATGTAAACACTTGATCTACACATCCCCTACCCACTCTGAAGCCTCCTTGATCAACCCGCAATTCTACATTCTGTCTTACCTCTAATTCTTTCAATAAACTTATTCCTCTATAATTTTTACAATATATATATTATATATTTTATATAATATATTAATATATATATATAATAAATATATAATATATATAATATATATGGTTGTGTGTATGTGGGGTGTGTGTGTGTGTGGGGTACTCACCTATTTGTACTCACCTATTTGTGGTTGCAGGGGTCGAGCCCACAGCTCCTGGCCCCCGCCTCTTCGCTGATTGCTACTAGGTCCTCTCTCTCCCCTGCCCCATGAGCTCTATCATACCTCGCCTTAAAACTATGTATGGTTCCTGCCTCCACCACATCACTTTCTAGGCTATTCCATGGCCTGACTACTCTATGACTGAAGAAATACTTCCTAACATCCCTTTGATTCATCTGAGTCTTCAACTTCCAATTTTGACCTCTTGTGTCTGTGTCCCATCTCTGGAACATCCCGTCTTTGTCCACCTCGTCTATTCCGCACAGTATTTTATATGTCGTTATCATGTCTCCCCTGACCCTCCTGGCCTCCAGTGTCGTCAGGCCGATTTCCCTCAATATCATGTGGGAGTTCGATACGTGGATTAGGGAAGAAATACTCACGTAGGCTGTTATTACGTATAATTACTGTTATGTGGACAGAGCCCGCAGCCGTTACCTATCTTCTTGGTTACACTCGTAATACTGACTAGCCGGCTGGCCAGTACCCCGTAGTGGGTCTTTTGAAATAGTGTCAGCTCAGCACAATATGAAAGCCCGGGTGACTCAAGAGGGTTTTAGGTCGTTGAGTCAACGGACAGGTTACTGGTAACTGGTTACTACTACTGAGACTGGTAACTGGTTACTACTACTGAGAGTGTCAATCACACCCTAGCAGAGTTGGGGTTAAATGTAAATAACCTGTATAGATGAATAATTACAGTATCAACTTATCAGTATTCAAAAATTATTTTTTGTGTTCATGTTCTCTCCGCATTCTGAGAGTTAACAGTCTAGATTTGCGTGCACCGAATCTGCCTTTCTGTTAAACACTCTTTCTTTGTATATATTCCTTCCTCAGAATCCGTAGATCACACGAATACAGACGATCGTCAAAATTTTTGTTTTAAACACTTGTAATCTCAATGTAGAGTTCGTTGTTCATTTGTTGAGTTTTAAGTTGTACTAAAAGTAACCTTGTATTGCATTACATTTCAGTTTACGTAAGCTTTTTGTTCCAATGTTTTTACTTATGTATCTATAATGTTTCATGTTGTGTACTTTGACATTGTATAGAATCAGCCCAAGCCGTATACCTGCCATCTCTAGTTTGTATTAGTTGTATGTCGGGACGACATACGTTTGCGTCGCCGAGCTCTCAGTAGTAGTAACCAGTTACCAGTCTCAGTAGTAGTAACCAGTTACCAGTAACCTGTCCGTTGACTCAACGACCAACCGTCTTGAGTCACGGTCTTTCATGTGCTGAGCTGACACTATTTCAAAAGACGCTACACCCATGAGTACTGAATCGTTGCGTGCATTTGCTGTTAGATTAGACAAACTTTTATCATCATTTATCAATGCTGTCCAATCATCATCTTTTTTCCCTGAAGAGGCAAACCATTTACAGAATCAATTGCTAAAAATAGCAGCTTTTGGAGCAATTAAAGAACTAATGCCACCTGCTTCTGTGTGTGCTTATGAGGCTCATCCTCCAACTGTAACGATGGAACCTCTTTACAGCCTTAAATCATGTACGTTCCTTTTGGGCCCCCAGGGTACTTTTTCCCTTGTATTAAAAGTAATGTCACACATATGCCTCATCTGCACCACCTCTTGTTTGCGCCACAGAGACAAATCGTGGTCGTCAACCATCTCAGAGATCACCAAAACCATGTACAGAGTCGTTATACACCTCGTAGTATTCATAGTACATTCAGTAACCATAGTCGGCGGAATTGTTATAACTTGGGGGTTTCCGGGACATATTGCAATTAATTGTCCTGATAGTTACCCTAAGAGACGTCGACGATGATGAGACTCAGATCTTCCCTACTGTACTTATCATAGAATACATGGACATAAACACATCTGAGTGTAATGCTCTCTATAAACCTTCAGTACTCTAGATCTTTCCGTGGTCGTTCCAACCGCAGAACCCGTCGAGGAAACAGATCTCGTGGTTTTCAAAATAACCAAACCCAGGCTCATTCATTCACTTCCAAACTAA